GGACAAGTCTAATGGTAGTAAACTTCCTCACCTTTTGTTTATCTGGGAATAGCTCCTTCACTTTTGAAGTACATTTGTGCCAGATACAGAATTCTTGGTGGACAGTTTTTTTTTTCTTCTTTTACAACTTTGACTATATTGGTCCACTGACTTCTCACCTCTAGAGTTTATGATGAGAAGTCTGTTTACAATCTCATTGAGGACTCCTTGGGTATGATAAAATGCTTCCCTCTTGCTACTTTCAAGACTCACTTTGTATTTCAAAAGTTTGGTGTTTATACTGTGTATTAAATGACCTCTTAGACCAACCTACCTTCTAAGTACACCAATTAGGAATTTACATCTCTTCTCTAAGACAATCCTGTTAACTCTTAGGCAGCAGAGAAACAGAAAGTGTAAAAGCTTTGGAATCAAACTTACTTAATGAACTACCTAGCTGAGATTCCAACAAGTGCTCACAAAAAATGGTAGTTCTGGCTGTTATTGCCTTCTAGTCATGGTTTCCTATCAATGAACACTCAGAAAAGAATATTTACGTCCACTGTTTCTTTATCAAAGTTAGAACACAAAATTATAAACTCTTATAAGCTTTATTTTTTAAAAGATTTTATTTATTTATTTAGAGAGAAGGGAATGGAAGGAGAAAGAAAGGGAGAGAAACATCAATGTGTGGCTGCCCCCAATGTGTCCCCCACTGGGGACCTGGCCTGCAACCCAGGCATGTGCCCCAAATGGACACCGAGCCAACAATCCCTTAGTTCGCAGGTCCATGCACAATCTACTGAGCCACAGCAGCCAGGTCAAATTCTTATAAGCTTTAAAAGAGCACACTGAAATCTGCATGGGCTCTCAACTCATGAACATTGTAGAGCTTGCCTTCCAATGTCTCAAAATTCTAGCATTTTGGCAGAATAATGAAACAAAAAATACAGAGCTAGACTCTTCCTCAGGCTTATCTTCATTTGTTTATAAGAAGAGTTAGATAATAAAACAGATTAGTGTTTATAAATGATGAAATATCTTTTAAAATTCAATCTTACAATATTTCAGTGGAACAGGTTAAAAAGAACCAGGCATTCTGACTAGTTAGCACTGAAATATGATTTGAGGACTCCCTGTGGTGATGAGTCTTAATGCATGTTTCTTCTATTGATATGTTGGGGTCTTCTGTGTTCATCTCAGGAACTACTTGTCTTTATATACTCTATACTCTAAATCTTAGCAGCCTTGCCAAGCAGAAAAGATAATGAATACAGTACCTAGAACAAAAAAACGTGGGCTCACAAGACTCCTACTATGTCTAGTCATAACCTACTATTACCAGTGCTAACCCAGGGAATGTGTTTGAGAACTGCACATGTACTGTCTGTAGAAAGAGCTTGGAAACACAACAGGCTAGGTATTTAATGGAGGTTAGATTCTTCCTCAAGCAACTGAATACTGAACAAATTATTTAACTTCAATGGGTACCATTTTCTTGTCTTTAAAAAACAAATCATCCCTGGCCAGTGTGATTTGGTTAGTTGGAGCCTTGTCCTGTAACCAAAAAAGGGTGCGGGTTCGATTCCTAGTCAGAACATGTGTCTAGGTTGTGAGTTTGTTCCCCAACCAGATGCTTGCAATCCCCGGTCCTGGTGCGTATGGGAGGCGGCCAATCCATGCTTTTCTTTTGCATCATGTTTTTCTCCCTTCCTCTCTTTCTAAAAGCAATAAAAAATGCCCTCAGGTGAAAACAAAAAAAATTAAAAAAAAATCAAATCCAATCTTTGTAGCAAATTTTAAAATGAGTTTTGGCAATTTTTATTGACTTATCAGATAATTTTTAGGGCTAAAAAATTACTATGAGCCAAGCCACATGAACATTACATAACTTTCAGGATCTTGGTGGGAAGGGTCTTAGGCAAAATTCTCATTTTAAATGAAAATTAACGAGAATAATTTTAAATAATGCAAACCAAGTCTATTGCTTAGACTCTTTCCCTCCTTTTTTTAATTTGGAGAAACCTGATATATATTCTGCCACAGAAAGGCTATATGTATATACTCTGTTTTAATCACATTAAAAATAATCAGGTGTTAAGAAATAGTTAAACCTATGGGAAAATTTTTGTCAGAAAGAATGACATTAGGTCAAAATCAAAAGTATTCCTAGGAAATATCCTTCAACATTAAAATGAACAATTTTTATAAATATATTCAAAAGGGTCTTATATTCTGCTACCTGGGGATATATAATACACTATCTATAGCACCTCAAAATTAGACATTCTGCAGGAATCTCACTGAGGTTTCACTGTAGCTGAAGTAACCAATTGGTAACACCTGCCCTCAACATTTTCCAAGTTCAAATTACCTTTGCCATAGAGCTATGAGGTCTCAACCAAACTCCTGTCCAAGCATTTCAACAGACCCAGAGTATAAGCAAATCACATCCCAGTCCACAAGCTCTTCCACAAAGTCCAGAAGTTCCAAAATGATCAACTTGCAATCTAGATGTCTAGTTCCTAAAGGGCATCGATACTTCCTCAATCGATAATTTTTGGGGAAATTCCCAGAAATTCAGCCCTGATTTGTCTGCCATCCAAATCCTGCAAACAACCAACTAAAGGGAGATATTTAAAACAGTCATCCCTGTTAAGTTCTCCAAGTTCTCATCTTGTGACAGATTAAAGAACTAGGAAAGGACTAAGATCATTTTCTAGTAAGAAGGCATTACAAAACTAGGGATCGTTATATTATCTTCACTCTTTATTCACTTTTAAAATATAAAAAGCCATACAAATACCTTCTGCAAGTACAATACAGCCACTGCCTACTGTGTTTCTCAACATCTTTAATGTAAAGGGACAAATGATGTACTTATTTAAAACTTTTAGAATCAGTAAAAATGTCATCTAGAACACTTACTTGCTTCATTGTCAGAGAAAAAAATCCTTAAAACCCATCACTTTTTTATCTTGATCTCTTTGTGTGCTTAGTGTCTGAAATCTAAATTTATGCTAAAATTCAAATAGAAATCTTTTTTCCAGGCCTCTAGCAGAATCATTTCTCTATAGCTTTAATCTAACTTTAATTTTTACTTTCCTGCCTTTATCATAAACTACTAGAAATATCTTTCCAGCATTATTTATGTCATATATTTAATTATAAATAAGTAAACAAATACATCATAGGTAACATCATGTAAGACAGAGACTAATAATCACATCTACCATGAAAAGACCAGAATGCTAATGCCAGTCCCACTACCACAAAGTCATGGAATTTTGGGTAACTTATAAAATTCTGGGCAACTTCATAATTTAATTATAAAATGAACAAAAAATTATTGGTTTTGCTGCCAAATAACATGGTACTTGAAAACAACTGGTATCATTACAAAGGGGTAAGACTATTAGACAAGCATAGAATATGATTAAAGTTTGGGGAAGAAAAAACACCCAGCCACAAAAATCAGAGGATTAGTTAAGATGGCTTTTAGTGCCCTGGTTGGTGTGGCTCAGTGGATTTAGTGCTGGCCCATGAACCAAAGGGCCACTCGTTCAATTTTCAATCAGGGCACATGCCTGGGTTTCGGGCCAGATCCCCAGTAGGGGGCACACAAGAGGCAACGACACATGGATGTTTCTCTCCCTTTCTCCTCTCTCTAAAAGTAAATAAGGAACACACCAAGGCACATCATTAGCTAATTACATTAGCCAAGATTAAAATGAAGGAGAGAATTCTAGAAGCAGCAAGAGATAAGGGGACAGTCACCTACAAAGGAGTTCCCATCAGACTGTCAGCTGATTTCTCAAAAGAGACCTTACAGGCAAGAAGGGGCTGGAAAGAAGTATTCTAAGTCATGAAATCCAAAGACCTACATCCAAGATTGCTCTATCCAGCAAAGCAATGGAAGGGCAGATAAAGTGCTTCTCAGATAAGGTCAAGTTAAAGAAGTTCATCATCACCAAATCCTTATTATATGAAATGTTAAAGGGACTTACCTAAGAAAAAGAAGATAAAAAAGAGGAACAGTGAAAGGACAGCAAACTCACAGTTATTAACAACCACACCTAAAACAAAAGCAAACTAAGAGGACAGCTAGATCAGGAGCAGAACCATAGAGATGAAGATCACATGGAGGGTTAGCAACAGGGGAGTGGGAGAAGGAGAAGCGGGGAGAAGGTACAGAAAATAAGTAGCATAGATGGTAGGTAGAAAATAGATGGAGGGAGGGCAAGAATAGTATGGGCAATATAGAATCTAAAGAACTTGAGACATGTGGTCATAAACTAAAGGGGGGAATGATGGGAGAGGGGGTGTGCAGGGTGGAGGGGAATGAAGGGGGAATAGAACTGTAATGGCATAATCAATAAAATATATTAAAAAAAAGCAGTGTTGTCTACTAGATATAATGTAGGTTACATAATAATAGCCATATTTAAAAAAATTAAAAAGATGGCTTTTACTGTTCCTTTTCAGCTCTGAAACTTTAAACTGATTTTTAGCTGGGAAGACTAAAATAGGCTTAATGGTGATACCTGAGCTAGGTATGAAAGGAAGGACAGGATTTTATCAGGTTACACTTTCTAATTTTATGTAATGTATATTTAAAGATGGGCAGACAATGGGAAGTGGAAGGATGATATAGTTGTAAATTTATAGAACTTACACTCTTTAGAGAAGTTCTTGTCCAGATAAATATTTTAAGGACCAACATTTGAATTCGGTGTTTTACTCACTGGCTCCATCTTTGCAGAGCTCACCAGATTCCACTGATCCTGATCTGACTCATCCCTCCCCCACCCCTCCCCTCCCCATTACTCATGATAATATTTCATTTAAAAGATAATTCATGGAGCTAAGGAGATGTTTATTATTACCAATGATTCTACTGACCTTTCTGCACATAAAACTCATAAAATATATTTCACAGAAGCTACATATTTAAAAGAAAAATAATAATCAGATTTTAAAACTTGACACTGAGATGATTCTTCAATTTAAAATAAAATTACCTGTAGTAGCCCTCCATCGTCAAATCGCAGTACTTCTATTATGCTCTCCGACTGAATAAATGCTGTGAAGGAAATAAAACATACTATCACTTAAAGAAACATAAATTTGATTTAAATAAACCTGTTTACCTTAAAGTTAATTGCTATAATTTTATATTTTAAAAATATACTGCTCGATGGAAAATATGACCAATACTTCTGGATTTTAGCAACAATAAAATATTTTTAAAAATAAAACAATACAACTCAATTAGAAACTGGTTTTAAACAACTACAGGCTGTATAAACCACTTGCAAAATACGCATTCCTACTATATTGCCAGAGAACACAAAACAGTCTTACTCAACTAGATGCAGCAGATTATTTTCATTGACAGGTTATTGGAAATATAGTAAATATATAACAAAGATCACTACATGATTGTATTTCCCCCCAAAATGATAAGCTGACAATATTGTCAGCTCCAGGTGGTAGGGATGATACGACCTGGAGTCAACAGTCAAGAGACATGTAAGGAGAGTGGACAAGGAAAATGGCAAAAGAGGATTATTCTGTTCCAGGAAACTGAAAACAATGCAAAGGCAAGATACGAAGCTAACACACTTTTACCACACAATCCAGCAGTTGTGCTCCTAGGTAATCACCCAACTGACCTGAAAACATGTCCACATAAAAATCTGCATACAATTCCTGATAGCAGCCTTATTCATAATCACCATAACTGAACACAATCAAGATGTTCTTCAAGAGGTGACTGGAGAGACAAACTATGGTACACCCATACAACAGACTACTATTTGGTGATAAAAAGTAAAAGAAAATACATACTATAGGGTTCCAAATATAAGACATTTCTGAAAAAGTCAATACTATAGCGATGGTAAATACATCAGTAGTTGCTAGGGGTTTGGGGAGAGAAAGTCAAGGTTGAACAAGTGAACCACAGCAAATTTTCCAGGGCAGTGAAACTGTTCTGCATGATAATGTAATGTATATACATGACACTACTCATCTGCTGTAACAGAACTCTACAGAACAAACAGTGAATCTAATGTATGCAATTAAAAAAATCATTCAGAAGGTCAGGGGATCCCATGATGGAATGCAAAAGGTGACAAAACAATTTAAGTATATTACAAATGTATGAAACCAACTAATTGAAAGGGGATAGAATAGGGAAAAGTGCTGGTATAAGTAATTTGGAAATTACTGGAATCTGTAAAACTACAGGCAAAGAAACTACATAAGCACTGTACTGTAGGTGATAAAGTAATTTTCCACAGGTGTGTGGGTTAATAATTCTGATGCTGATACCTGTATACTGGAATTGAACAATTAAGTGTGTGGATGATGGATAGTGGCAGCTGGATTTCTCACTGTTGGAGTAAGAGTTTTCACAAAAGCAAGGATGGAGGCTAGAGTTATTTACTTGGTAATGGCAACATCAGTACGAACTCATGTTTAGCTTAAAACAGATACAGATGGTCACATACAGAAATGTATGGATGTGTATATACACAGGTTAGTATGCATACATATATTTTGTTGCTCTGTCAGTTGAAAGGGCCTAGAAACAATTATATCCCAGTAGCAAAGAGCACACTTATCACTCAGGTCTTGGTTTCTAATACCATCCTCCAAAAAGGGAACTAGGGCTTTTTGGAGAGGTGGCTGAATCTAGGGCTAAGGCAGTAACATACACAAGATGAAACTGGAACATCTCATGGTGCCAGAAAGTGAGAAAATGGTAAAAACAAAAAACCTGCAATGATGGGAATATGTCAAAGGGACATGAGTAATAAACAGAGTGTTCCCAAATGGCCAAAGCTGCAAGTTGAGCAGTAAAATAAAGTAGTAGTAGATTATAACCCAAAGTATAAAATAAATATCCATGAATCCACAGTGATATAAATAAATGACTGAATAAATAAATGGAGAGAAAGAGACAAAACTCCTAGGCAGAAGAATTCTAAAATTTACTTTTAGAAATACTTCTGTCAAGATCGTAGAGTAACTCCCAATTCCTTAAGCCTGGGATACACAGTGACTTCCTTTCAGAGAAAACAGTATAGAATGGAGGGAAAGAGTAAATTCACAATGAAGAAACCTGACACTTCCGCCAAGATGGAGGCATAGGTGGATGTGCCGTGCCTTCTCACACAACCAAGTTTAGAGACAACTAAATATTAGCAACAGAAAACACAGCCAGAACATGGAAAATTGAACTTTTCGGAAGTCCGTTAACAACAAATTCTTTAGCCTGACCGGTAAGGGGCGAAACCAGCGGCTGATGAAGCGGGGTTGCACAGGAGGTTTCGGTCAGTCGAACTCAGGCGCGGAATCCAGGCACAGGGTTGGACCTAGTGAGCGACCGAGCGGGGGAGACGGGGGGGGGAGGAGACAGCGGGGGAGCAGTGCTGCGTGTTGACTGTGGTCGCGCATTTGTGCGTGGGCAGACAGGCCAGGGAGTGGGCAGTTGGACCGGGACCCAGTGGGTTCCCGCAGCAAGCGGCAGCAAGGGCGCCGCCATTTCCCTGCTCTGACCCCACCTCCACATACAGCGTCATAACCCAGCGACTCTGAGTGGCCCGGCCCAGGTGAACCACCTAAGGTGCTGATCCTCACCCAGCTGTGAGAAACAGCAGAGGGGGTCGCCATTTCCTCGCTCTGACCACGCCCCCACACACAGCGTCACAACTCAGCGACCTGGGGGTCCAAGGCGCCGCTTCTCACACTTAAAGGGCGCGAACAGACCAAAAATGTTGCAAGAAGTTCTCAAAGCCCCAGAACCCATAGATCTAAGCGATGAAGAAATAGCAAAACTCTCAGACGCATAGTTTAAAACACTGGTCATTAGGATCCTCACAGAACTGGTTGATTATACCGACAAATTAGACAAATATATGAAGGCGAAACTAATTGAAATGAATGGAATTGCACAGGACACCAATAGCAATGAAAAGGAAACTGGGACTCAGATCAAGGGAGTGGACCAGAAGAAAGCAAATAATGGCCAAACAGAAAAGAGTCAAGAAGCAAGAATTCAAAGAAATGAGGAGAGTCTTAGGAACCTCCAGGACATCTTTAAATGCTCCAACATCCGAATTATAGGGGTACCAGAAGGGGGAAAGGCACAGCCACCAGTGGAAAAATTATTTGAACAAATAATAAAGGAGAATTTCCCCAAACTGGCTAAGGAAATAGACTTCCAGGAAATCCAGGAAGCTCAGAGAGTACCAAAGAAGTTGGACCCAAGAAGGAACACACCAAGGCACATCATAATTACATTAGCCAAAATTAAAATGAAGGAGAGAATCCTAGAAGCAGCAAGAGATAAGGGGACAGTCACCTACAAAGGAGTCCCCATGAGACTGTCAGCAGATTTCTCAAAAGAGACCTTACAGGCAAGAAGGGGCTGGAAGGAAGTATTCCAAGTCATGAAATCCAAAGACCTACAACCAAGATTGCTCTATCCAGCAAAACTTTCATTTAGAATGGAAGGGCAGATAAAGTGCTTCTTAGATAAGATCAAATTGAAGGAGTTCATCATCACCAAGCCCTTATTATATGAAATGTTAAAGGGACTTATCTAAGAAAAAGAAGTTAAAGAAACATGAACATTGAAAGGACAACAAACTCACAGTTATTAACAACCACACCTAAAACAAAAGCAAACTAAAAGGACAGCTAGATCAGGAGTGGAAACATAGAAATGAAGATCTCAAGGAGGGTTAGCAACAGGGGAGTGGGAGGAGGAGAAGGGGGGAGAAGGTACAGAAAATAAGTAGCATAGACAGTAGATAGAAAATAGAAGGGGGGCAAGAATAGCATGGGAAATATAGAATCTAAAGGACTTGAGACACATGGTCATAAACTAAAGGGGGGGTAATGGTGGGGATGGGGGGTAGGGTGGAGGGGAATGAAGGGGGTAATAGAACAACTGTAACAGCATAATCAATAAAAAAAAATAAAAAATAAAAAAAAAACATTAAAAAAAAAAGAAACCTGACAAACGTCACCTCAGATGATGAGGGTCAACGTCCACAATGAAAAGTCATGTTGATAGTATGTACCCTTGACATGATGTAAAATGAAAATGGTACTTTTATCTCTGTGATCTTACTCCCAAAATCACTTAGCTCCTGTCATCTGGAGAAAAACATCAGAAAAATTTCACTGAGGTACATTCTACAAAGTACCTAACCAGTATAAAAACTGTCAAGGTCATAAAAAACAAGAACAGTCTTGAGAAACCGTCAGAGACCAGAGGAGCCTCAGGGAACACTGGGCTATCTTGTATGGAATCCTGGAAAAGAAAAAATCAGGTAAAAGCAAAGGGAATCTAAATAAAATATGGGTTTCATTTAATAAGTATTAATATGGGTATATTAATTATTTTAAAAGTACCATATTAATGGAAGATGTTAATAATAGAGAAAACTGGAAGGAGTATGTAGGAACTCTGTACTATTTTTGAAATGTTTATATAAAACTAAGATTGTTCTAAAATAAAGTTAATTGTTAAGCAGGACAATGATATTTCACTTGGCTTAATACTGTGTTCACTGACCCCTCTTCATTAGTTTTTGGGCATTCAGAGAAGTTTGTTGCCTAATCCCGTGTACCTAGAATGATATACCAGCTAATAAGCTGGTAAGAGGCAACCATGTAAGAGGCAACCACACATTGATGTTTCTCTTATTCTTTCTCCCTCCCTTCCCCTCTAAAAAAAAAAAAATAAGTAAATAGCCCTGGCTGGTGTAGCTCAGTGGATTGAGTGCAGGCCTGCAAACCAAACAACCATGGTTCGATTCCCAGTCAGGGCACATGCTTGGGTTGTAGGCCAGTTGCCAGCATGGGATGCACAAAAGGCAACCATATGTTGGTATTTCTCTCCCTCTCTCCTTTCCTTCCCCTCTAAAAATAAATAAATAAAATCTTTAAAAAATAAATAAAATCTTTTAAAACAAAAAAGAATCTCAATGTGTCATCTTTTTAATGACTCACTTTCAGAACAGAAGTTCATAAGTTTATTTCCCATTTCCCTACTTTATTTGATAA